TTGATTTTCTCAGACACTATTGCCTAGTCAGAAATGTCAACTTCTTTGAATGTTGTTTATGAAGTAAAAAAAAGTATAATCATAAACAATTATACACAACAATCTTCTGAGATTTTGGTATTTTTGTGTGAATTTGTCATATAGTGTCTTTCTGTGCTGTTATGTCTGACAGTTGAGTTTTGTGATGGAGTAGTAAGTTTGAATGATGAATTCATTTATATCTAGTGTCTACTTCAACTGTTAGTGTAGTTTTCCAGCCTTGATAGTCAATGTTGGCATGCCATTAAAGCACTGGCTGAATTGTGTGTTATTTTTTGTATTTGTGATCATGATTCATTAATCATACCTGGGAAGGTGCTGTATTCACTGCTGGCAATCAAGGGAGACTGTGTCAGATTTTTCAGATTGAGAGTCTGTGTAACTTACAAATTCAAACCTTGTCAACCTGGGTGAGATCCAAGTTTGTATTCTTCTGAGAACATGTTGCAATTATTTTGTTTTCTCCATGAGTGGCTGTTTTTATATACCTAAAGTTCAGGTATTTATAAATCAGCGGTGTGTAATATAGGAAATGGATGTTTAGCATCTCACTCAAGCTCACTCTGGGTAAGATGCTGTTTGTGAATTACTCTTTGCATCATTTCTCTCCACATAACATGATGGCATGGGTTAAACCTGTTGGAAGTTTATACTTTTATTGCTCTAAAGTCTCATTTGAACTACAAGACAGTGGGAGTTAAGTTATAAAGTTTAAATTATATTAACTAAAGCCCTAACTATGAATGATTATTATTTTTTTTAAGTCATTCTCAAATTCAAATTTTAAATAATTTATTGAAATTCATTTTAGACTGAAATGAAAGATAAATGAAATAGAAAAATACTAACATAAATAATGTAGATGTGAGATATTTTATGGGTACGTTCGTAAAGTCAAACGAGTTAAACGCGTTAGTAACGAATTGTTCGAATAGTAGTAGTCTCGCTCAGTGCGCATGCTCTGCGGTGATGACGTTTCGAACGAAACTCTAACGAAGTTCACGAAGGAAAGAGTTAGTTTACTTTGTTAAGAAAATGGCACCCGACGATATCGATGTTTCTAAATCTACTCGAGTGTTTAAATTGTGAATTAAAAGATGAAATGATTGATGAAATGATTGGAGTAACTGTCCACCTGAAGCAATCTAAGAAAAATATTTCGGATAAGGCTGTACTAGCAACATTTGTGTCTTCAATTTTAGAAATAGCCATTTAGTTCTAAACGAATCGTTCGAAAAGTCTAACGAAATAAGAATAACGATGATGTCATTCTCGTTTAACTCGTTCGACTTTACAAACGTATCCTATGTTAACATTTTTTTAGTATTACTGGAATTACTTTAAGTACTATAAAAATAAAATGATGAAGGAATTAATTGACAATAAAAACTTATTATTGGATTAGGGTTAAAAATAATTTTGCTTAAAATGTTCAAATTATCAAATTTTTTTATATTTAACTATATAATTATTGCAAATTATTATTATTAATAATAATAATATTATTATTATTATGTAATTATTCATACATCATTCATTTAAACAGCATTATACCTGATCTGTAAAAATAGGAAATTTGATAGATCTTTAACATAGTTATATATTGAGCTGGTAGAGATTTTAGTCAAATTATGACTTACATAAAGTCACAATGTTAATTTGATGGCTCTTTGTTAATACGTCTGTTTGAATTTTTATTATTGTTTTCAAAGTCTATAATGCTATTTAATTATTTCATATGAATAATTATGAATAATATCTTGATTTATTTCCAAAATAGATAACATTTGTTTATAAAAGAATATTGATAAAGATTTATGAATATTGAAAAATCATAAACAAAAAAATTGTGTAATTTGTGGCATTGTTTATCTCCATGATATAAAACCATCGTTTTTCATGTAGAATTGTTATGTGATAGAATATAATTGTTTGTAAGAAAGATTTAGTTTAATTGATTTCTAGATGAAAGAAAATTATTTAAAATATGAATTCATTTTCAGATCTTTATGAAATTAAAACTATTATATTTTGAACAGAATAATTGCCATGATATTTATAAGGAAGATTATTGTTGAAACTGTAATGGAATACTTTCTGATTTAAAATTTCAAAAACAAAAATTTAATTTAAAATTAATAAAGAAATTTACATCACACAGTTATAGTTTAGATACAATTAATCATTTTCACAAATTTGAAACAAACATCACAATAAATTAATTTATTTAAAAAAATTATTTCAAGTATCCCATATTAATTTATTAAAATATTTCAATGCTAAAACTAAATAGCAAAATGAATAGAATTTTATTTTGTTTAATATTTTAAAAATAAAACTAACAACTTTCTGTGTCTGCAAAATAGATTGATTTGACAATAAGAGATTCTGATCTTAGACATGAGGGTACAGAATATTTTCAAGATCCAAAATTTCTCCAGAACATATCAGGGCTGTGGAGTCAGTTGACTAACCATGGCTTTGACTTATTGAATTTTAGAAACTCCAACTTTGAATCTGGTCTATAAATAAGAATTTAAAATTTACTTTGATTATATTAATCCAGAATGGCATTTCATCACTATCAAATGAATCATCAGGCATTCCCTATTGAAACTGAAAATACTTACCTTTTTTTACATAGTTTCTCATTATACCACCATTATCATCATCAACCATGCATTGACACACAATGTTTTACATCTGTGGTTATAATTCAAAAACATTAGATTTAACTGAAGTTTTCTTACCCATTTTGTATGCATCTTTTGAAATAAAGATTTAGACTAACAGGGAATGTGTTCAAATATAAATTTCTGAAAAGAAAATCAACAGTAATTTATAAATAGTGATATGTAACGAAAGATCATGAAATAGGGGAATCATCATAAAATAAGAGCTTGCATTTCAGGAGGCTCTTATAATGTAAGATAGACATCTAACACATTTATTAAGAATATAATATAAACTACATAATAAAAAATCAGAGTTGGAGTCAGTCTATTTTTACTGATTGATTCCTCTAACAGCAAATTAGCTTCCACTTCCACAGCCCTGGAACATAGAAAAATTTCTCTGAAAATTATTGCACACTAGCATACAAAATAAAACAACAATTTATGAATCAACTAATAATTATTATTATGTAGTTTGGAGAATTCAAATTAAATCATATAAATAATTAAGTAGGTCTATTGTATAATTTGCCATGCAACACTAAACTGAAATTAATATAAATATTTTTTAGATTAAAAGAACATTTTAATTTAAGCACTTGTCTTCATCATAGGGTAGCATGTACAATTATGAATCTGATTAATAGAAATAAAATTGAAGCTGTCACTGATTGATGAATGTCCATGGAACTTTGTCCAAAAAATGCAAAATTTATTTGATGATGACAGTTGTGCAGGTTTTTTCTGAAAAATTATTTAAGAAATACACCAGCTTTTTTGCAAAAGGATTTTTTTTTTTTTGAGTTATATTATATTTAAAAATATCATCTGATGTATTTTTTATTCTGTAATAAATCTATGAAAAAAATGTGAAAAATAAAGGAAAATAATGTTATACAATGATGACAAAACTTTAACTATTTAATCAATATAATTCAGATAGTTTTTTAAAAAATAAAATCATAATTATTTTTATATATAAAATGAAAATATTGGAACAGTGGTTTCTATGTTGGTATGAAATATTCTTGACTAATATCATTCATAAGTTCTGTGAATGCCTGAACTTTTCAACAGAATTTCACTCACTTGAGCTTAATTTTTCTATTTGAACTATTGAGATTGTAGCTAAAATTTGTTAGTAGTACTAGACTTACTACTTTCATAATATGCCTTTATGTAACTTCTTACATAATAATTTATTACTATTTTCATGTTATAAATTACTTACCATTATATTCTCTTTTAAACTGCTTTGTTACTGTATCTTTAATTGATGATAGTTTATTATTTAGTTTAAAAATTGCTTTATGATATAAGGAAGTGTATTTGAAATGTGTTGGAAATTATATGCTTTCTAATTCTTGCTTAGTCATCAGTTGAGATGGCTATTGTAACTTTTAAATTTTCATTTATTTTTCAAATGAAATTTAGATTTTATTGTTATAAGTTTGATTTTAATTTTGTTTTGATTTAAATTACATTTACTGCAGTATTGTAGATATTGAAATTGGTATATTCAAATCTTTTTAAGTTTAGTAGATGTTATTAGGAGCTTGTTCTATAAATTTACTAATTAGGCAGTAACTTTTATGTTTGAATTTGATTTATTCAGCATTGTAATTCTTATATACAATGTTAAAAATTAATTCACGTATTATTTGGAAAATCAAGACGGAAGATTAAGAAAGTATTTTTAGTTTAAAACAAAAAGTTGTAAGCTGTGCTTTGATCATCAGAGATATAATGATTTATATATGTAATAATTATATGAACATTTATTATAATAATTTTGATTGCTTGATTGCCTTATTTGCTAGAAAAACTATATTAAAAAAAATGGAATATTATTCTCTGGTCGAGATTGATTTCAACTATTGTCTTACACTACAAATTCGGGCAGATATTTAATTTATTACTGAAGATGATTATATTTTAAGATATATAAGCTATTGTTTCTGTGAAAGAGACTAAATGGAAAAATGGGTCTTACGTAATTGTGACAAAATAACTTCAGTTGATGATGATAAAAATATAAGTTAAGATGATAACAGGTGTGTATTAACTACAATAAATATTTATTTGGAATGATATATTGTTATTGATGTGATATTGGCCTAGTGAGACCAAAAATGATAATTTTACAGGTGAAGTGAGATAAGACTTGTTAACAAATATTGCTGTGAATGTGTGAAATACTGTGATTTTTATTTCTATACTTTTTTCCAACAAGCTTATTTAATACTTTGATTAAAAATTGAACAATACAATTTATTTCTATTTTAGAATATTATTTGCCACATTCGATACTGAAGAAGCTGCAGAGAAAGCCTTTCAAGAAAATGAGAATTTAGAAATAAATGGGAAAAAACTTACCGTATTATATGCAGCTACAAGAAAGCAATTACCAAGGATAAGAAATCATTATGGTTAGTGAATTAAAAAGAAAAAAAACTTATTTCAAAATATGAATTTTAAGTTTCATTTCTAAATCATGACTAATTGGCTAAATTTTCCCTTAAAGCATAAGGGATTGAATAAGATTTGCTCATAAATAATATGCTTAATTTATATTTAAAATTTCTAACAATTATGATACAAATTTTAAATGGAATTATTATATTAATTATATATGTAAAATTATCAAGAAGCATTGTGGTCCATATATAAAATACAGAAACAATATAATCAACTTTCATAAATACCCTGTTCAGCAAAAGAAAATTTGCCTTATGTAGTTGTTATCAGTATTAGTTCATCATGATGAATGGCAACAGTTATATGATATGATATATGAATTCGAATGAAATGAATGATTTATATAGTTATGGCAACTTTGAATCAACAACTTGAAGTGTGTGAGGAAAACATTGTAGTGTGAAGAAAGAGCTGTATTTTGGAGTGTTTGATTAGAGTGGAATAATTATTTTAAGTAAATGTTTCCTTAAATAATTGAATTTAAATTAATTTATTTTTGTGTATTATATCAGTTGCTGATGTTTATCAATTATACAGAATTGCAGTTTGTCAGGATATAGACTTATTAAAATGTAAGTATATTAATACTGTCAAATACATAAAAATAGAATTTTATATAAGATTGAAAATAATTGGCATCGTTTTTTGACTTCAACAAAAAAAATTTTTTAACATTAACATTTATTATTATTTACTAAGCATATTAAAATGCATACAATATAACTAAAACCCATAATTAATATTAAATGTAAAATAGACCAAATTTCATTGCTTAATTAACATAAGCATAGTCTGAACATAAACTAGTCTTTAGACTTGTTTCAAATTTAAAATCTTTGATAAGATTTCACAGTCACAAAGTAAGTATTAAAAAACCTCAAAGAAATAATTGTGAGATTTTAATTTTTAGTTTTTGTAGAAAATAAGGAACATTTCAAAACATTTTATAATAATTCTAGATCAAACTGATATTCAAAAATATAGCTTTACAACCTGACCAACCTGCTGGTCACATACAAGTTAACATAAAATTTATAAAAACATATAATAATTCAAAAAATTTTTATTTTTGTTTAAAAGATTTCCATCAAACATTTTTAATCTAACATTTTCAGAGCATTTCTTGTTGAATCAGTTCAAATTTTTTAAGGGCAAAACAGCTCATATTTAGGTTTAAGAGATCATATGTTTTTACCTTCATATTGATCAATTCATAATGGGTACCTATACCAGTAATTGACATTATATGTATATTTTAGGTTTGGTAAGTTGAGAAGCCTGTAAATATATAAAATTTTCTTTATACATAAAGTAATATTGAAAGGTGATCTTTTACTTTATTGATAGCTAGTTTCAAAATTATTATAAAACAAATACTTTTTGTTAATTACAGTAGACCCCCCTATAACACGAAAATATGTTTCTCGTTATACGAATTTCGTGTTGTAGGAATCCTTGGGCTGTGATTGGCTCACGTATTTGACACGTGTGAAATTTACGGACTACGGCTGTTTGAAAGGTTTTCTTCCATAAAATTAATCCATTCTAGACTAATTTGACATAATATTTCCAAAATACGTATATTTTTTTTGGAAATAATCCGTATAAATTACTCTATAAACAAAAAATTGTAGTATTACTTACCAAGTGTGCACCATTCGACTTCGCCGCTGCTCAAGCTTGTTTTTGTCGCGGAACAGCGCAGCAAACCACGGCCGCGATTTCAGATGTTATTTTTCTGCAAAAACTTCGTTGAACTTTGGAGACATCATTAATATAAATAATTTTAATCGCCGTTGAATAAGAAATGTTTCTTTCACAAGAAATGTATAAAATTACAGTACTGTATTAGACTTACGGTACCTAATTTACATACTGTACAAACGATAGCTCGCCTAAACTCTCCGTAACATGGTGCTAGACGGTGGAAACTATACATATAATTATAATAAAGTTAAAATAAATTAAGTTAATATATAATTAGATATACAGTACCTAATTTATATATAATTATATGTACAGTACCTAATTTATATATAATGCTGTACAGACGATAGTTAAACTCAACTTACCCACCTAAACTCTCCGTAGCGTGGTGCTAGATGGCGGAAAATAGTTCGGCTGCTCGTCCGTGATGGCGAGTTGGCGATGACGTTTTACGCGTCCCTTTTAGTGTCTTTGTACGAATACTGACGCAATTTTTTCGCCATGTCATAGGAATCTACGTTATTGGAACCCGCGTTATAGGGGGGTCTACTGTATATATAAAATTTCAATAGTTGCCATTTAAAATACAGACACCATACAAAAAACTCATTGCATATTACACACACTTTTTAATATTTAGTCACATCTCCCCTAGCCTTAATAACAGCCAAAGTACATCAGGACATGGAATCTATTCAATACAAGCTGTTCTAAATAAAGTACATCAACTTTAAGCCATTTTGTTTGCAATTACACACAATTCCTTGACTTTCCCAAACCATTGATTTATGAATTTTGCCTGTCTCTCAAGGTACTTCAACAAATTCTCAATTGTATTTAAATTTTTGTGACCTATCTGGACAACAGATGTGTCCAATTGTTTTATGTTCATTGTGCCACTTCAATACTGTATGGGTTCTGTGAATATGATGATTGTCATTTTTGAACAACAGGGCATTGATGCTATGTATATCACTGAGATGCTCTGCAAATGGAAAGACCTGATTATTTAGAATGTCCAGATAGCCAAAATGTTTGGATGAGATGTACATTGTTTAGAATGTTACATTTTCCAGTAGGTAAGATAGTCATCAATGGCAGATGTGACATTTTTTGTCTGGTGTCTGTATAATGTATAATTTAAATGAAATGCAAATATAATTAAAAAGTAATATGCAATATTTATAGTATTATTAATTACAAACAGAACCTTTCCTTAAAAGATTTTTTTTCTCTCCTACCATACAAATCAAATTTGATCAAAGTATTCTAAACTGTAATAGTTTATCAACCAACTGATATATCAAAATCTAATTAAAAAATCTCTTCAGTTTTCCTTTGAAATAATTCTTACATTATAATTTAATTCTGTAACAGTAATTCTCTAATGGTGTAGCTGAACAGTTTTTGTGTTTAAATAGCTTACTAAAAAATTTTAATTTTTGAATGGCAGTAACTGGTATAGTTATGTACTATTGAGATAACATTCACTGATTATCTGTTAAAAAAAATCTACAGGACCAGATTTAGGTATTTTGAGGCTTTAAGTTGAACTCTGTGAGGTCTCTTATGAACCAACCCTTTACAATTTTAGAAGTCAATCATATAAAAAAGAGAATTAACATAAACATATTGATTTTAATAATGAATGTTTTATTATCATCACCAAATGTTTTATTGTTAAACAATATTTGTAACGTTTTATAAAATAAGGTGCAATTTAAAAACGAATACACTAAAAATTTCATTTTTATTATTTTTTGATTACAAAAAAAGCTACTAAAAGCTAAGAAAAGCTACCTTTAAAAATCAAATGAATTTTACATTCAAAAAGAAGAAATCACTAGAAATGTAATATAAACAATATTGGTCATTTATATAATTAAATACTATACAAAATAAAAAGTAAAATATATTTTGTTGGTTTGTAAAAAAAAAAAACAAATTATTACAAAATTTGCCTTTAATTTTCTTTTTTGTAGAAATTTTTGAGCTCCTTTGAAACTTTAGGCCCTAAGCTACAGTTTACATAGCTTACTTGTAAATCTGGTCCTGATTATCTGATCAAAATTTTGTATGTATATATATATATGTGTATGTATATATATACACACACAAACAATTTAGATCAGATAATCAGTATATATATATCATCTAGAGTCTCAACTCCAAAAACTAGTTATACTTATTGAAAAAACTCATTCAGGCACCAATACTAGCTTAAAATGGTCTTTCTTGTAAACTTGAAGTTCTAAGCTAGTATTTGCATCTGAATGAGTTTTTATTAAGTATCTATACACCATAGGTATGTGTGCACTTGTACACAACATACATAGTCACTTAAAACAACTCTTAAGCTTCTGACTATTAAGATACTATTAATAAGCTATTCAGTTTTTATTTGTCTACAAGAATAATGCAAATATTTGCTTTTTCACTAATCTGTTTTTCTTGTTCCATTATGTTCAATGCAATGAATAAGACACAGACAAGATAAATAGCTGTTCAAAAGTAATGCCTCAGATGATACTTCCATATGGAGCACAGTCAAAGGAACATGTAATTTATAATTAAATCATTGTACCAGAAAATATAGACTTTGAATCCTGGATATGAGCTTTCAGTTAAAAATTTTCATTGCTAAATCAAGAAATGCACTGATAATGTTTAAGATTTTGAAGGAAGTCAATTTTTTTTATTTATTTAAATTTGTTGTTTGAAGTATAGGTTTTTAACTTAACGTTTATTTTTGAAATTTTGAATATCTGTTTGCTTAGTATATAGATAGTTGTAGATATTTAATGATGTCAATTATTTTCATATTAATTTTATTTTTATGTATCATTGCTGCTGTTGTGCATATATTTTAATAAGTGTTGGCAATTATTAACATTGAAATAGTATGAAACAAGTCTTTAAACATTTTATCTAACTACAAAGTTTAGATTCTAGTTCTATTACTTGAAACTAAAAACTGTAATTTGATTGTTCTGAATATTGTTTTATTAACTGGTGATAAAGTTTGAAATTAATTTTCTAATGTTCAGTTGGGTTTGTATAATCATTTAATATTTAGATGAATAAAGACAAAACTGTAATAAAATTTTATATAATTGATAAATAAATATTAGTCCAAGAGAAAATTTTAGTTTTGAATTTTTAACAATAGTTTATAGGATCCCCAACAATTCAAAATACAGGAAAAAACTTTTAATCTGATATAAATTATAATTTATCAAAGACA